TAGAATATGTTTTAAAAATATATATATATATATATATATATATATATATATATATATATATATATATATATATATATATATATATAATTCTTAAAAATAGGTATAAATTATTATAATTAATAAATAAATTTATTAATAGTTATAATTAATAAATAACAAAATGTATAAAACAAGGAAATTATAAAAACAAAAATATGTATTCTTGAAAAGTCGAACTCGGAAGTAATTGCTTTTGATCTGAACTCAGTACCACTTTGGCAAACTCATTTATACATCAGTGTCCTTAATATATTTAATATATTTAATATATTTTTATTTATCGGGTCGAACCCGAAGGTTTTACCCATGAACCCGAAACTGAACCGATTCAGTTCGGGGTTCAGAAAAATGAACCCAACCCTTAGAGTTCGGGTCGGGTTGGTCCGAGTTAGCGGGTTTCCGGGTTGAATGTACACCCCTACCACCTAACCCTGTTTCTGCGGATCAGCATCCCCTGCGCATCAAACTCGACGCAAAAACCCTAAACCCTAATAGCAGTGAAGTCAATCCGGAAATATGATGATCTTTTATGGTTGTTGTTCTAAATTTCGCAGCACCAAATTTACAGCATTCAAAACTACGGCATATGTTCTCTGCAATTTCAGTCGCTCAAGATCGATGTCTCAATCCACCTCCATTCCCAAAAAGGTCGAAAGGGTCCGTGACCATGGCTACGATAATTACATGGAGGTGGAGAAGAAAATCCGAAAAGTGCTCAAGTTTCAGGACCTTATTCTCACCCAAATTAACCAAACCATCCCAGTTTCTCGCCTTGATGTCTCAGCTCGTCGCCTTGGCTTCAAACAGCACGAAGCTGGGGCGTTCGTCCTCAAATTCCCTCATGTATTTGAAATCTACGAGCACCCTGTTCAACGAATACTCTATTGCAGGTTAACTCGAAAAGCCCACCTCCAAATTCAGCAGCAAAAGCAGGCTGTCATTGCCCAGATTCCGGATGCTGTGACTCGGCTGAGGAAGCTTTTGATGATGTCCAACAATGGCCGTCTTCGCCTCGAGCACATCCGAATTGCCCGGTCTGAGTTCGGGTTGCCCGACGATTTCGAGTATTCGGTAGTTCTCAAATACCCTCAATTCTTTAGACTGTTTGATGCAAAAGAAACCAGGAATAAGTACATTGAACTTGTAGAAAGAGATCCAAATCTTACTGTTTGTGCAATAGAGAAAGCTAGGGAGAGAGTTTATAGAGAAAAAGGAAGTGATGCTGAGGATATTAGATTCTCTTTCATTGTGAATTTTCCTCCTGGGTTCAAGATAGGGAAGTATTATAGAATTGCAGTGTGGAAATGGCAGCGGCTTCCTTATTGGTCGCCGTACGAGGACGTTTCTGAGTACGATATGAGGTCCATTGAAGCACAGAAGAGGATGGAGAAGAGGGCAGTGGCAACAATTCATGAGATGTTGTGTTTGACTGTAGAGAAGAAGATCAGTTTGGAACGGATTGCACATTTTCGAACGGCGATGGACCTGCCGAAGAAGTTGAAGGATTTCCTTCTTCAGCATCAGGGGATTTTCTACATTTCAACCAGAGGGAACCATGGGAAGCTTCACACTATTTTCCTCAGGGAGGCTTACAGGAGAGGTGAGTTAATAGAGCCAAATGATGTGTATTTGGCTAGAAGAAAATTGGCTGAGTTGGTTTTACTCAGTCCAAGGAAGGCACAACTTAACAGAGAACTAGTTGGGTACAGGAGAGAAAGAGTGGGCTATGATATGGAAAGCTCTAGGCCAGATAAATTAGATGATTATGGTGTTGGGGACAGAGGCAATGTGAGAGACGTTTTGGACTCGGACATGGGTTCTGATTCAGAGTCCGATTTCTCTGATGATAGTAATCGTAGTGTTGATGAAACGTTCGAGGAAGAGGATGTGAACATAACCAAATAACGTAAACTCGATTGTTCTCGATCATCTCCTTCGAGCTGCTAGATTATCTCTGATTAAATGAGACTGTGTTGAAGCCTCAAAACTCATTTGGTAGCTCCTGGTTGTAAACTAAAACACAAGCGCTCTTTGAACATAAATTTTGTTCATCAGGAGCGTAGCGGCCTTAATCTTCGCTTCGATATTCATTGTTCGAGTGGGGCGGTAGATCTTCATGGTTGTGTTTTGGATATGTGGTTTGGCAATGTGAGATGCCATGGCTTAAAGAGGAGTGTCATGATGATGCCACAGGCATGGAATCCAAATTCTGAAGGCGAAGAAGAATTAGGTAAAATGCAAATGAATTCAAGTTTGATGGGCAGAATCTGCAGGAAAACTACATAGGAAGGGAAGTCCTATGTAGTTCATGCTTGCTTAGCTTCAAGCTGCAAAGAATGTGGCATGGAAAAAGATGGCTTCTGGAAGATTTTTTTTTTTTTGTTTTGTTTTGGTGGCTTTCAATTCAGCAGCAGAACTTCATTACACATTCTATCTCTCAATCAATCAGTGATTTAATAAAAATTTTACATTGACATTAGATGTAAAATTTATTTTTCTATCTCGCTCTTCAGTTTCATCTCTCCTCTCTTCAACTTGAGGCTTAATAATTTCTCATTTTTTCATTTTTTTTTCCCTCGCTTCTTGAATACTCCTTAATGTTCTTCTTTCATTCCTCCATCTCTAGATAGAACGATATATAAATGGAAAGTTATGCAAGTGACAAGTTATTGAATAATGGAGGTTAAGTTCTTCATGTGACAAGTTATGCAAGTTATACAAAGTTAAAGAGAACAGAGGGTGCAATACATAGAAACCCTTTTAAATGTTTTTTTTTCCTTCAAATATTTGTGTGTGTTTGGACCAACTTAACTTGTACAAACCTACCTAGCGGTTGCCAACAAATAGGGGTGGCTCGAGCACGAGACATTTAAGGAGGACCAACAAATGAGCAAGCTTCAGTACAGTACCCAAGGCTGCAGAATGAGAGAAAAAAAACACATCAATAAGACTTGAAGAATTCTAAGAGAGAACAAACAATTATAAAGACAATGCTACATTCAATGACTTTGAATGCTTCCAGAGTTTGCAATTTCAATAGATCATAACCTTCTACATTGTGCAGTGGAAATGTTTGATTTGCAGGTTTTTCTGAGCGAACCAAGGATGGTTGAAAGCATATTTAAAAGACAGATTTGATGTGTGATATTCAGAAAGCACATGAGTGAAATTCCAGTCATCCCAACATTCTAAAGCTATACAAAATCTGAGTTTCAGAGCTTACATACTCTTCGACGTCTCGCACTTATAATCCGGCCATGCCATCTAGAGCGACCGAAGAGGCTTCCTTGTGATCCTGGGAAATTGCTATGCACAGTGTCACGGTCATACTTGCCACTTGCTGTATTAGAGGATCCATGGCTGCTCTGAGATGGAACAGTATTTCTGTTGTGGTCACTGCAAAGGATTAGTCAAATATGGAGTGAAGTGGTCTGCATTGTGCAGGCAAAGCTCCCCGGCTTAAGAAATCTGCTGGCAATACTTTCAATAAGATGACAAGAAAAGTTTCAATAAACTAAACCTCATAAACATTTCAATTCGAAGAAAAATGTGCTACCATAAGTCAGCTAGATCCCACGTTGGTTGGAGAGGGAACGAAACATTCCTTATAACGAGGTGGAAACGTCTTCATAGTAGACGAGTTTTAAAACCTTGAGGGGAAGCCCAAATATGACAATATCTACTAACTAACGGGCCAAAACAAACAATATTTGAAGCTAAAACCTCACCTAATAGACGCGTATTAAAAACAATATATAACAGGTCAAAACTAACAATATCTCCTGATTTTTCGAGGAATTTTCATCATGTAAAAGGTTGTTCCAAACTTACTACACAATTTGTCTATGAGGATGCCGGAATCTCGTATGGAAGCTGCTTTGGAGGGGGCAAAACAGTTTTAAGCTTCTTCCTCAACTGTTCAAGCTCCCCCAATATGTCTTTTGCATCTGCCTGCAAAAGAGATCTCTCCATGATCAGAAATGCTGCATCGCTCATTTGCCTCCCTCTCTCCAACATTTGTTTGGAGCACTCAAATGCTTCATGAACCATTCCACGGGCACATAATCCTGTTACCAACACATCCAATACATGACTATGAGGGCAGTATCCCTTCTCTACCAGATAGCCCCACAAATCCAAACCCAAATCAACTCGACGATTTTCACAGAAAAACCTCATAATCATGACTACTGTTCGTGCTTTCGGCACAAAATTCCGTCGTATCATTTTGCTATACAACTCATAAAAACCATGAACATCCTCCAATTTCATCAGGCCTACGAACATCATATGATAGGTCATACTGTCATGTCCAATGTGTTTAGCTTCCATATCTTCCATTAAAGCCGCTGCAGAATTCACATCATCAGACCTAATCAAGGAACTTATCAAAGCATTATAAGCCCCAATGTCAGGACACAATTTTCTCAGAGGCATTTCATCAAACAGTTGGCGTGCTTTGGCTATGTCCTTTGCTACCCCTGCTCCATGGATCAGAGTAGTGATTGTTTCCAATGTAGGCTCAAATTTTGCCCTCTTCATTTCTTCGAAAACTCTCAAACCATCCACGAAACAACCTCTTTTGCAATATGCATCCATTCTGATGCTGTAAGTCACAACATCTGGCTTGAAACCTCTCCTGATCATCTCATGATAGAAAAGCTCAACAGCAGTAACATTGCTGGATTCCTTGAAACCTAAAAGCAAGAGATTCATGGTTTTAGTATTGGGGGGAAATCGAGAATACATCTTTAGGAACACTGATCGCGCCTCTTTCATCTGTCTCTGAGTGCAAAAGGCTCGAAGGAGCACATTAAATTCCTCAGTACCAAATTTCCTTCCAACAAACACTTCATTCTCCATTCTCCGAAACGCCTCGATCGTTTCTTCGAAGGATTGAAACTTCGCAATCTTCGTAAGCAAGATGCTCATGGATTTAAGAGTAAGCAAAAACGGGTGAGTTCGTTGAATCTCACGCATCAACTCCCATGATTGATCGAAATACCTCATCCTGGCGAGAATATGAAGCGTCTTCTCAAAAGCATCTGGAGTTGGGGAAGCTTGAGAATGGTGGAGGCAGAATTTGAAGAACTCCAAAGCCTTGAGACCATTGGAATGCGCTGCAAACAGGCGGCCAAGAACGTCATTCAGGAAAGTGTTTGAAGGAAGAGGAGATGGAATATGGTGAAGAAGAGTAGGTCGAAGGGGCTGATCGGGAAATGGATGGCCGTTGATGATTTTGGTGATTCTTTCGATTTCACCTCCGGGTTCTGAAGATTGATGAAGATGAGTAGAAAAAGGAGCGGCAGGAATCAAAAAGTAACGGAAAAAAATGGGTATTTGAGCGATTTGAGTAAGCCTCGTCGGAATCACCATCTTCAGTTCTTCACTCTCCAGAGAACAGAGAGATGGCGGCGGTGTTGAACTATTGCAGACGCCGGGACCGGAGAGTGGAGTTTTTACAAGTAATTCAATATATATATATATTAATTATTATTATTATTTTCTTTTTTAATAAACAATACATTTATGAAATAATATTTTTTTTTTTGTAAATAATTGATCCATTGGTCGTTGGAGCGCGCCACTTTTAGGTACTTACGGAACGACGACGTTTAGCGGTGATTAACAGAATTTTTCATCCCCTTCATTTGTCGACGAACAGAAATCTCCGAAACTCCAAAATTTTTCTGTTACTTTCTCTTTGGATCTGATCTTCTTCGTTCTTTCTTCCTTTCTTTTCTTCGATTCGACTAATTTTCTCATCATTTTCCCGAGAAAATTCCCTTCCCGGGAAATGTCGCACAGCGATACAATTCCTCTTCATCAATCGTCCCAGTCGGACATCGACGAGATTGAAAATCTCATCAACGCCAGCGTCCAAACCGGCCCCACAACTGTTCTTGCAGCTCGATCCCCAAGTCCTCCCAGGGCTTCCATTCCTGTTTCCTCTTCCCCGTTTTTACACTCCAATCTCCCATCACATCCCTCCAAATCGAGTAATCAGAAGCCGCCGTCTGTCTTCCCTGCTCCTCCGCCATTGCCCGTCTCCAGTAATGGCAGGTCTGATGCATCGGCGACTGGTTTCGGATCGCAGCCCAGCACTCTGACGGAACCGGTCTGGGATACCGTCAAGAGGGATCTGTCCCGGATCGTTAGCAATTTGAAGCTTGTGGTTTTTCCCAACCCTTTCCGTGAGGACCCCGGAAAGGCTTTGAGGGATTGGGATCTCTGGGGGCCTTTCTTTTTCATTGTGTTCCTTGGTCTCGTTCTTTCGTGGTCTGCATCCGTCAAGAAGGTCAGCCTCGTCAAAATTTTAGTTGGTTTACATCGTTGATTGCCTGTTTTTTCTTTGATTTATGTTCACATACAAGTCTCTTGATTTATGTTCCTTATATTAGCCTGTTTTGGCCTTTCCGTGCTCTGGTTCGGGTTAAACTATCTGCAGATATTTAGATTGGAAACCGAGTTGAACGCATTGTTAAAATGTCCAATGCAGCTTAGTATATTGTCTCAGAGTAGCTGGTAGCGATCAGTCAAGTGACTGGAGCGCTTTTGTTCAGATTTCTTGAAACTATCTTTGCTAGTTTTGTTTCATTGGATTTTAATAGGAACCGATGATTCTAGATAGTTGGAATACTCGAGAAATTATAGGAACACTTGAGCTTCAATCGATGGCTAAAAGCTCATTGAATAGACCCATAAAAATGTTGTAAATAGCTCAGTGGAAAGCATAAATGCAGATGCAGTATGTTTAAATGGTTTGTAGGACATAAATCATTGTCTATGTGCTTGAATACAGCGTGAATCGTCAGGAGATTGAAATGTACATGAACGAAAGATGAGTGCTGGAGACCACCTCTTTTGTGTGATTTTCCTTAAGGAGCTTTCTCTTTAATTGTATTGGTGTAGCTAGCAAGTATCGAACGATTCCTCATAAAGGAAAAATGTTATAAATGAAGAAATGTAATGCTAAGGGGTCTATCTCCCACCCATTAATCCTCCCAGAAGTATGTTTCTTAAGGGAGCTCATTGGATATTTCTTGAATGTCTTGGATCCCATCACCCATTTACTCTCCCAAAGTATATGTCACTCCCATCACCCAAGATGCTCACCTTCTCCTCGGTGTCTTGGATCATTCTTGGAGCTTTCCCTCTTTCTCACTTTGTTTTTATCGTGTGTTGTCCATTAGGGAAACATCATATGTCATGACTCTCATATCTCTCATTCTGGAGTTTGAGCTTACACTAAAAAGGGTTTGTTTTTAGAGTCCTAACCTACCGGTGGCTTTTCTTGTAGCTTGTTCTTTTGTTGCTTGATGAGCCCTTCTCCCTTTAGTTAGTTTGCTTTCTCTTCTTTGTGGAATGTACAAATTCCAAAGAAGGTTAAATTCTTCACTGGGTTGACAGTTTATCCATTGAAGAGTTAACAGTCTTCATTGGCTTTCAAGGCAGTTTCCTTCTTTGATAGGACCGTTCTGTTGCATTCTTTGTTAGAGGTCGAAGGAAGAGTTGGATCATATCCTCTTGAGTTGTAATTTTGCATGGTCTTTTTGTAGCTTTCTTATATGTGTTTGGTTTTCAGTTTGCTAGACATAGAGATTACAGGGAGATAATTGAGAAGTTCTTCATTTGTCATATCGGTAGAAGGAGAGGTTCCTATGGTAAGTCAGGATTGCAGAGGATTCTGGCACCAGATTTTGTCCTGGTCGATCCTCAAAGTGAATGAGAAAATATTTTAGAGAAATTTATGTTGTATTTCATTTTTGGAGAGAAAGACATAGAAGAATTGGCGAGTTGCATAGAGACTCTTATCAATTCTAATATACTTTGTTCTCGTTGGATGGGTTTCTTGTATCACACACCTCTCTTGTATTGTCTTGTTCTTGTCAATGAACTTTCTTTTGTATACATATATGTTAGCAAAATAATCAGATGCAGTCTAGTCGGCTCGCGATGATCCTCCTTTTGTTTCCCTGCGCCGCATTGTTGGATCAAGCTAATAAACTTCCTTCCCTAACCCTACTTCCTGCTGAAACAGAGAGAAGCAAATGCCTTTGAAAATGAAACCTAGATTGCCTTGAAGTAGATTTGAGCAAATTGTCTACTTAAATTGCATTGATTCTTGCATTTTGCATTATCATGGAAGAATAGTTGTATCCTTCTATTTAAAGGTCAAGTTCGGTATATATGTACGTAGCCAATTCAAGCATAACTTAATGGATAAGACGCTCAATTAGTTCGGTTTCCCACCTCTTTAAATGTTAAACTAAAAAAAACAAATACATGTGTACATATGTTTGTATTAAAAAAACACTTATATAAGTTGTCCTTATTTGTGATGCTCAATGGGGATGTGTGGTGAAATATCATTATAACGTTGTTTTCTTATATTCCACAATCACCTTAGCATTTGAAACATTCTTAACCATTATCTATTTATCTGTTTGATATTTTTCAACCAATGTTTGCCCTTTATTCTTATTCCCTATATCAACATTCACTGAACTGTCATTCATCAAATATTGGCTTTTATTATTTTATTATGTTTTTGTTATTCTACTACTGATATGAATTGATTCTCTTTTCAGTCTGAGGTTTTTGCTGTTGCATTTGCACTTCTTGCTGCTGGTGCAGTGATTCTGACCTTGAACGTGCTTCTTCTGGTAACTAAATCTATCTTTCACTCTTTCCTGCTCCCTTACCACTCACTCTTCTCATCACGTTTGTTTTGTCGATTAGAATATAGAGTTGATACTTATTTAATCTTGCATTGTGCGGCCTTCTTGATTGTGTTTATTGTGAGAACTTAAGAGTGTAAGGGCATGGTCGGGAGTAATTTTGAACTATTTAAAATTACTCCGAAAGATTCCTAAAATCATTCAAAATTAATTTCATGTTTGGTTTTTTACTCTCAGCGCAATTTTCGTACCATCAAAATTGATTTTAAATGGATAAAACATTTCTCAAACATGAAAAAAGTGAGTCACTAAGCCTCACCTTGTCCTAAACCTCATCCAAGGATATCTCCACACCTCTAAAAACTTGATTGTTTCTCCTAAATCACTCTCTTCACAAGATAGCCAAACAAGCTTGGTACTAGATCCTCCCCTTATTACAAAATGACGAGTTCATCATGACCTCCTTGAACAAAAGCTGATAGCTCATATTACACACCATCGCAATTCCAAGCAAACGAAAACACCAACTACAGAGAGAGTAAGCAAAGTGGCAACCCCACAAGAGATGATCAAGTTCCTGTTCTTGTTGTTTACAAAGAACCCAGACAGAAGGTGCAAAACCAAGGTAGTGTGACGCTGGATACGATCCTAGGTGTTTCATGAAAGACTTGACAAAAAAATTTACTTTATTAGGAACTTTTACCTCCCACAGGAGAGGAGAAACCAGAGCCCCCCTGAGTGAGAGAAAGGGATCAAAGGACGGAGAAAACAAAGGAGAAGAGAAACACCTAGAAGGATTAGGATCCCAAATTCACAAATCCTTTCTCCTTAGAAAAAATCTCTGATCTGAAATAACAGAAAGAAGACCCACCAAGAGACGATCGGCAAGCTTTCTGATTTAGTTTCTCTAACAATACATATAGATGCTAATAATTAGAGTTTTCCAAAGTTCCCCCTCTTACCACTTTATATCAAAGCTTAATTCATTTTCTTCAAATTCTCTACATCAAGGCCACCTTTTTCTGATGGTTCTCCTTGTTTATTAAGCCCCCCCTTAGAAATCTCCCCCCTCCCTGTAGAATGTAAATTTCTCTTTCTCATCCTTACGGTTGACTTTTAATATTCTATGTATTCATATATACATTGGTTTATGGCATCCATCTCCTTTGTGGAAGTTCGTTAAAAGGAAAAGCTCGTAGTTCGTGGGAAAATGCTTTTAGTGCCATGTTTTGTCTTGTCTAATCAGATATAAGCGTTGCTCACCGCCCCTAATGAGCTTTCGTTGCTTCATATCTCTAATCTATTACAAAAATAACTGAAGACTTGCACTTTGGTTACTGCAGGGTGGACAAATAATTTTCTTCCAAAGCTTGAGTCTTTTGGGATATTGCCTGTTTCCTCTAGATGTTGGAGCATTGATCTGCATGATGAAGGACAATGTAGTAGTGAAGATAGCCGTGGTATGTGTGACCTTGGCATGGAGTTCTTGGGCTGCATATCCTTTCATGAGTTCAGCTGTGAACCCAAGAAGAAAAGCTCTTGCACTCTATCCTGTGTTCCTTATGTATGTATCAGTTGGTTTTCTGATCATTGCCATTAATTGAGATGCATTAACAATGGAGCTCTTAAAAGGGTTTTGGTAAGAAGAGATCGATATGATGATTGAGTAATGATTTAGGAACCTCATGAACTGATCAATATTCTCTCACCTTGCTGTAACCCTTTCTTTTTGACTTATATCATATAATGTCTTGAAACTCAGATCTGCCTACATCATCATATTCACTGTCTGCAAGTTTTCTTTCATGGAAATCCAAGACCGTGTAATATTTCTTGTAATTATGATATGCCTTCATTTCTTGAATGCAATCATTTTATGGCTATTTCTCGTTTTTCCTTAGAAGACTTGAAATCAAAACTGTTGAGAATAATTTCTGGTAATGGAAAGTATTTGACCAAAGCTATGGTGAGATATTTGAGAGTGGCATTTTGGTGAATGTACATTAACTTGGGATGGCTGTGCCATACTTTTTAAAAGGTCTTTTAAGAGCCTGTATTAGGTGAATTGTATTATGATAATGTCTTAATGTGGGAGATGACAACAATTAGTGAAGGGTTTTGCTTGGTCACATCTTGGATCCCTTGTTGAGTCACATGGCACTGACTCTATTTTGTTGTTATTCAAGGGTGATGAATATCGTACTATAATCAAGACCTCAAATTTCTAGGTTCATTAACCGACAACAAAATTGCGCTGCTAATGACGTGGTAGGATGGGTTGGATGCTTGCTTTGACTATTTTAGAATATCTTGCACAAATACTCAAATTTTTAGGTTCATTAATAGATCACAAAACTGCGCCCTAATGAGGTTGTACGATGGGATGGGATGGGTTGGGTTGGATGCTTGCTCTGACTATTTTAGAATATCGGGCACAAATACTCAAATTTTTAAGTTCATTAATAGATCACAAAACTGCGCTGCTAATGAGGTTGTACGATGGGATGGGATGGGATGGGTTGGATGCTTGCTCGACTATTTTAGAATATCTTGCTATGATCAAGACTTTAACAAATGAGGTTATGTTTTGAGCTTCTTTGGCAAATACTCAAATTTTTAGGTTCATTAATGGATTACAAAACTGTATTGCTAACGAGGCTGTACGATGGTTGAATGTGTTTGCTCGACTATTTTAATTTGTTGTTATATTTATTTGATTCTCCTAAAAGAAACGTAACTAAGTTGAAGGACTTAAAGTACATAAAAACTATTTAAAGGTGGTTAACAAATCTTTTTTATTAGGAGTCTTGAACCCAAATTATTGTAATGAATCTTACTCCAATGCACATAGCAACGAATTTATTACTACTAAAATAATTGTTCAAATTAAAATTTAATATTATAACAAGTTCAACCAATTCGAGTATAGTTCAGTAGATAAAATATTAATTAATATATCAAAAGTTGAATATTCGATATCTATCTTATAATTATTAAACTAAAAAAATTCATAGTTTGTGAAAGTTTTTCTTTTTTTTTTTTCTATCTCGTCACTTCGAGGAATAATAATTTTTATAATTAAAAGATTTAAAGTAAATTTACCTATTGAAATTTAAAATTTGGTCACCAACATTCTTAACCTTCTGACACTGGACAACAACATCCCTTTTCGAAAGATGGTTGAACCAAGAGTTACCACTACAATCGAACACAAGGGAAAAACCATTTTAAACTGATACCGACAAGATTTAATATATAGATTCTTACACGAGTATAAAATTTCTTAAATGGCATAGATTAACAAAATTTAGAAAAAAATGCTAAAATCAAATGGATAGTACCAATTTTTATCAATAGTTTTCACTTTTATTTTTTATTGATTTTTTTTATCACTTTTCTTTAGAATTTTGGGAGAAAAATACTATTTTAAGTATTTTAAAATATATTTTAATTGAAAAAGTGAAAATAGTTATAAATAATAAGAAATAGCCTAAATAAAATTTACTCACAACCTCTTAAATTTAGTAGTTTGAATAAACTTTTCCACCAAATTAATTATTAATTTAGTAAATATTTTATTTGAAGGTAATTACCTAAATAGCATAAATACATATTTTTAACGTTGTTTTCTATTTCTAAAAAGTTAGTGGTTTGTTCATACACTTTCTTTAAAAAAAAAAAACCAAATATATTTATAGAAAAGGTCAAAAATAAAGTAAATTGCAAGTCAACCATCCTAATTTTAGTGAGCATATATCTCAATCTTCAAAAATAAATAAATAAATAAATAAATAAATGGGTCAAAATTAAATTTTTATTTAATAATTTAGTTCATTTTTAAAAGTAAAATATTAAAACAAAATGTAAGAGAAAAAGTCACCTATACCAAATTTAAATAAAAGTTGAACTCAAAAGAAGAAAAAAACAATCACTTACCTAAGAAAACTTTGCCCCCTCCCCACATCAATTAATTTCACTACTAATTATCGAGTTCAATAACGATATGATAATTGATATTGTATGCAAGCTCGAATTCGCTAAATATATATTTATTTAAAATCTGTGGTTAAAAAAATTTGTGAACAAAATGGATATGAATTTATGAACTTTTCATGTTACAAACAGAGAATGGAAAAGAAAGTCGATCTCACCGTAGGATGAAAGAAAAAAGGGGTCAGAGAAAGTGGAAATTTTGAGTTTTTTGTTTGCGCCTCTCTCTCTCTCTCTCTTCTTTGAATACTCAAAAGAAATTTGGTACCCATTTCTCGTTTCTGCAATTTTCCCTCTTTGTTCTTCCATTTCTTCTTGTAATTGTTGTTTGAGTTTTGGTTCCTTAAATGAGGCGCTGAAAGCAAAGGGTACGAAGAAAAAAGGCATTTCATAAGGTTTTTTGTTCTTATTTCTTCTTTAAATTTGTACCCATTTCGTGTTGAGGATGGGCAATTCGTTTGGGTGTTCGGCGTCTGGCGAGCGATTGGTGTCGGCTGCGAGAGATGGCGACTTGGTTGAGGCTAAAATGCTTTTAGATTGCAACCCATATCTCGCTAAATACACTTTCGGCGGCCTTAATTCCCCTCTCCATTTTGCAGCTGCCAAAGGCCACAACGAGGTTTCTTCTTCTATTTTGCTTCTAATTTGTGCATTTAGATTCTTTTTTTCTTGGCTTTGTTATGATTGTTTGTTGTTTTTTCTTGGCTTGGTTGGGTTTTTCTTAGATTGTGTCCTTGTTGCTTGAAAATGGAGCTGATGTTAATTCCAGGAACTATTGTGGGCAGGTACGTGATTTTGATGCCTTTTCCTCTTCTGGGTTTTGTTTGGATTGGGTTCCTGATCATCAAAACGAGAAGATTTTAGGTTTATGAATGAAATTTTGGTACCCTGTTTTTGTTCTTGATAGGGTCCCATTGTTACTGTTGGATGAAAGTCTCACATTAGCCAATTTATAATCAAAGAATACTATCTCCATTGGTATGAGACATTTTGGGAAAGCTTAAAGCAAGTTCATGAGAGCTTATGCTCAAAGTGGACAATATCATACCATTGTAGAGAGTCGTGTTCAACTAATGGTTACAATGTCTCCAATATGATGAACAAGATTTCTAGGATACTCTGCCTTTTGTTCTTCAATTTTCTAAGCGCACAAAATCTGATAGCAACGTATTCTCATATGTAATTATTCTGAAATGAATGTTCTTCTTACTTGTTTTGTATTGTTTTGTTAATGCATAATGAAGACAGCAGTGATGCAAGCTTGTCGATATGGGCACTGGGAAGTTGTGCAAACTCTTCTAGTTTTCAGATGTAATGTAAGTTGTTAAATTGGTATTTTGCTTTGCTACTGTCATTTATTAGTTGTTTCATGGCTAGCTTGGCTCGAGCATGAAAACGTCTGGCCTTTGTAAAGCTGCCACAAGACCACGACATTGTCGAGTTGTTTCTTTTTCTTGAGTTGTGGCGATAATAGCTTGTTTGCTGTAATCAGGTAATGAGAGCAGACTACCTCAGTGGTCGGACCGCTCTCCATTTGGCTGCCATCAATGGTCATGTGAAATGTTTAAGACTTATTATGGCTGATTTTGTTCCTAGCGTTCCTTATGAGGCTATTACTAGTCAGACAGATGCCAACAGAAGTGATGGTGTTAATGTGAAGAACAGATGTGAACAAGGGTACTTGGCTCGTTTCATTTTACATCTAAGCATAGAGTTTGTATAGTTACTAGCTGTTTTGATTTTATAGGAATAGGTTGATGGCGAGTTTCCTACAATTGGCTGATGAGAATTATAGGATTGTTTGATTTTAAAGAAAAATGAATGTTATTGTGAGATCCCGCATTGGTTGGGGAGGAGAACGAAATACCCTTTATAAGGGTGTGGAAGCCTCTCCCTAGTAGACACGTTTTAAAAACTTTGAGGGGAAGCCCAAAGAGGACAATATCTGCTAGCGGTGGGCTTGAACTGTTACAAATGGTATCAGAGCCAGACACCGAGTGATGTGCCAGCGAGGAGGCTGAGCTCCAAAGGGGGTGAACATGAGACGGTGTGCCAACAAGGACACTGGGCCTCGAAAGGGGTGGATTGGGGGGTCCCACATCGATTGGAGAAGGGAACGAGTGCTAGCGAGGACGCTGGGACTCAAAGGGGGGTAGATTGTGAGATCCCACATTGGTTGGGTAGGAGAACGAAACACCCTTTATAAGGGTGTAGAAACCTCTCCCAAGCAGACACATTTTAAAAACTTTGAGGGAAAGTCCAAAGAGGACAATATCTACTAGCGGTGGGCTTGAGTGGTTACAAATGGTATCAGAGCCAGACACCGGGTTATGTGCTAGCGAGGAGGTTGAGCCCCAAAGGGGGTGAACATGAGATGGTGTGCCAGCAAGGACGTTGGGCTCCGAAGGGGGTGGGTTGGGGGTCCCACATCGATTGGAGAAGGGATGAGTGCTAGCAAGGACGTTGGGACCCGAATGGGGGTAAATTGTGAGATTCCACATCGGTTGGGTAGGAGAACGAAACACCCTTTATAAGGGTGTGGAAACCTCTTCCTAGCAGACACGTTTTAAAAACTTTGAGAGAAAACCCGAAAGGGAAAGTTCAAAGAGGACAATATTTGCTAGCGGTGGGCTTAGGCCGTTATCACGGGTTGTTTACCATCAGGTATTGATAGACTTTGCATGACCTGTTTATTATTATTGTGATTTATTTTTGTGTTTCCAGTGCAGTGATTTGTCCAAGTTTATAAATAAGGCAGCTGATGATGGCATTACCGCTCTTCATATGGCAGCACTAAATGGCTATTATGATTGTGTTCACCTTCTTCTTGACCTGCATGCCAATTTTGCAGCAGTAACATTTCATTGCGGGACCTCTATGGATTTGATTG